TCCCTCAGCCAGGTGTGGCTGTCGCCGTCTCGGACACATCCCGTGGCCTGTTCAGTTTTTGTGCCGCAGATGCTGGGGTTCAGCACACAGACCTTGTCCACGACGATGCCACTGAACCACAGACAAGACAACCAGGGTGAGGACAGTTCAAAGCCTCGAGATGCTCCCTCTGGGACGTGATGCTCAGGACAGCCACAGCAATACAGGGCATGAAAACGGGGATGAGGCCGAGAGTCAGAAAGAAGAGCCCCAGCAAAGCCGCGTCAGCTATGGAACGCGATGTCTATACACCCCAGCTTGGTCAGGTCCTGGCGCAGACAGCGATGTAACCTCCATTCCAGAGGGATGTTTGATGGGACACCCGGGCCAGCTCAGGACACCGGCCTGATGCTGGCAGCGCCGAGCGTGGAGGAGTATCTCAGCAGGTAGTAGAAGGCCACGCAGTGATCCAAGGACCTGGAAGCACAGAGCGCTCCGTGAAGGAGAAGGAATGGATTAAAACAGATCGAGCAGACTGAGCGTCAAGACAAAACGCTCGTTGCTGTTGGCATTTGAGAGACGAACCCAAACCCGTGATGACAGCACAGACAGGAGCTGATGCAGCGGCTCACGGGGACTTCAGTCAGTCCCGGTCACGAAGAGGGTTGTGCAGTTCCCTGCAAGCAAGAGAAGCGGAAGACAAGCTGCAACCACCTTCCAGCCCAGCAGCACCAGTCGGGCTTAACTCGGAGGGTCCCTGAGCCGCTCTGGCTGTCACGCGACGCCCCGCGAGACACCCCTGCAGGGAGAGCCCCAACCTCCACCCCACACTATGGATGTGAGGGTGTCGCCCAGCCGGGAAAAGCAAGAACAATCACGGCACTCTCAGCAACACGACCCTCTTCCAGCAAAAAGAGGGAGAGAGGAGCCAATTGTCCCTGCAGATCCGTTTGCCCAGACCTCATGCAGCAGCTCTCTACGGGTGAAATTATTTTAAGCTTCCCAAGCATGGAACAGTACCCGGGACCGGGGAGCACGTCCGCAGCGGGAATTGTCGCGTAAGGAAGGGGTGCTGACTGCAGCATCACCTGCAGCAAATCCCAGAGCCTCTTGCAAAGGATAAAACTGTAAATGGTTGGGAGCTGCGAGGTCAGACCTCGCCCCAGACACAGGCCCCCGGGCAGGGGACAGGAGGGGGCTTCACACCCACCCTGGGGGGACCCCAGCATGCTTCCAGGGGACACGGACCTGAGCATTGTTCAGTCACAGGTCAGGCCAGAGCTGACCAGAACCTGCATGGACAGCAAGGCTGTGGGCAGCGGGAGCTGCCTGAGCAGGATTTTCCACAACCGCAGCAGCCCGTAGAGTTGCTTTATTTTTGTCCTTTATACAGAAATCAGCTCCAGGTGCTGTTTTGCTGATTAAGGATGCCAATTAAACTTGGTCACCCGAGTAAAGGAAGTAGCCGTATTTTACTGGAGATAACTAAGTAATATTTTCATTTCTATTTGCATTTGTACAGCTTTAATTTATTTTCCTCCCAAACCCATAATAATTACAGGTTGTCCTTTAAATTCCCTGGGACTCCCACACATTAAGGAGCCTGCTGCTCCAGTGTCAGTCAGGGCATTTACAGTTTGTGGGGACCGGCTGTTAAAAACAAAACAAACAAAAACAAAGAAAAAACTTTAAACTCTACGTGGGGCTGTCGGTCCCTCTGCACCCGCCGCCCTGGAGCTTGGCCACTAATTCACACGTGCGGATTATGACACTGATCCCCCTCCCTGGCCTCCCGCAGAGGGAGCCCAACCCTCTTCCACCCCCAGAACCGCTGCCCCTCTCTCGGGGTGAGCAGACGGCGGTCCCGTCGAGGGGCCAGAGGTGGCTCCGCAGGCTGAGCAGTCCCCGCCTTCCTGGCCTGGGAGTTCTGTACCTTTTCGCTGGGTTTATTCAGCCCTCTCTGTTTAGGTATCTTCCACAATTCTGGGGTTGAAATTCCGCCAATTTTATCACGGGGCAAAGCATCCCCTCGGAGAGCAGTGAACATTTCCTCACCAGAAACCCTGTTTTCGCTGCCTTTGGGGCTGTCAGGAGCATCCCCATTCCCGGCACTCCCTCAGGGGCCCCTCTCATCAAGGTCACGTAACCGCTTCACTTTTTCAATTCCTTGGTCGAGGGGATTCCCCATTCCATTAATGAGGAGGGGCAGAATTACATTTTTATGTGCCGGTGGGGCGGTTTTTATCACCCCGTTTCCCACAGCGACCGGCACAGGATGCCACACCATGAGGTCAGCGTCTCCTCCACAACCAGGCGCTCTCACCCCTTCCCCCTCCGCTCGCCGCGCACTGTCCCACACAGCAAACCGCCGGTGGTCAGACGCCGGCCCGACGTTCTCCGCAGGATGTTTGCTATCGCACCCCAGAGCGGCCAGTGCTAACAAATCAACCTCCTGAGTGCTGCTTTGAAACGCATCCTGCACAAAGAATCCGAACTTCAAATCAAAAGCCCTTTTAGAGCCTCCTGCGCCTGGGGTTACCCCTGATGGTGCAAATGCTCCATCCAAGAGAGCAGGGGCCAGTGTCTGTTTAAATCTTCCAATGATATCGTTCACTCCCCGCTGTCTGTAACCCTCCATCGCATCCTTCCCCACAGGCTGCCCCACATTAGGATCTCTGCCAGGGTCCCCCCGCACACCCGCTGCTGCAATCACCACACACACTTTCCGACAATCTGCTCGCCCCCTCCTCCTCCTCTACTCATGCTGTGCTACTCACACCGCAGCTTGCCCCACCGCTGTCTGGTGAGTGTCCGGCTTATCAGCGGGCACCTCACTCTGGCACTGCAGCGTCACGGTTTGCCTCTGCAGGTCACACGTCTGTCGCTCCCTGTGGGAACGCTCCGACAGCCGCCTCTCTTCACCCTGCGCTTGGTTTTTGCACACAGTTAACAAGATCCACCCTCGTTCACTTGGATTTGTACTTTCTTCTCCTTTTTTCAAGAGGTGCCTTTCTTGGACAATTTAAAGCATCCAATGGTTAAAGAATGGCATTTTTGTCAGATCCCAAGTCTGACACCAGTTTATGTTTTTCTGATTAAGGATACCCGTCACACTCGGACACCGGAGTGGAAAGAGTCGGGGTATTTTACTGGAAATAAATAAATAATGTAATGGAGTAATACAGACAGCATAGAGTAAGAAAAGGCAGAATAGTGCTCCAAAATAAGAAAATACAGGGTGATGCATCAAATCGTGACTACATAAGAGAGAGAGAACAGGGATTAAGATCCCTCCCCACTCGCACCCGCTGCCATCGTCCAGCCCCGTGGGCAGCCCCGGATGCAGTGAGGGTTTGCAGGGTCCCGCGGGGTGGTTCCACCCGTAGCTGAGGCCCCCAAAGAGGGTCCAGCCTTGTGTCAGTCAGGGCATTTACGGTCTGTGAGGGCTGGTTGTTCAAAAAAAAAAACCAAAAACAAAAACCCCAACAATCACACCAAACCCCAAAGAAAAATCTTTAAGCTCAACGTGGGGCCGTCAGTCCTTTTGCACCTGCGGCGGCTCACTAACAGTTACAGACTGAGGAGTTCCAGCTCAAGGCCTGATGCTCAGGCTCCAACACTCCCACTTGTTCCGTCAGAATAGGTGGTTGGTTGTAACTCGGTATAACCCCTCTGAGCACGGTGGTTTTCAGGTCTGAAACACAGAGGATTCATCTCTAGGTGAACTCTGGCTCGGGCCGCTTGCCCAGACCTTGGCGCTTCAGGTCCTTCCCCTTCCCCTTCCCTCGCTGGCTCAGGCAGGACAAGCCCGTGCCCCACACGTGCCCCACAAGATGTTTGTGGCCTCAGCCAGGGCCAGCCCTAGGACAGCTTCAGCTTTTGCAGACAACACATGGAAGTTGGAGAGAGAAAGAAAAGCGCTTGTGCGTTTCATATAAAGGCAAGTAACCAGCTGCAGTCGAGGCGGCGTCATTAGGAGCGTTTAAAAATTCCAATAAACCAGAAAAACTTCTGGGAAGAGCTGCTTGGATCTAAAGATTCCTTAAAGTGTTTGAAGCCCTGCAGACTTCGCCTCACCTGAGCACCCCTGTGCGTCTTCCTCTTGCTCTCCCCTTCAAAAGTTTCGCTGGAGGCTTGTTTCCACTTCCAAGGAAGAAAAAGAAAATTAAAAAAAAAAGCAGAAGAGTGAACCTTTCCACTCTGCCAGTCCCGTGTGGGAGACTGACCCGATGTCCTTGGGGGGCGAGCAAGTTTTGAGGCAGCAGAGATTAAGCACAGCCCAGCCAGGCTAGGCAGGGGGGCAGCCCTGCCAGTGCCCCCAGCTGTGCGACGCAGCGGGAGCTTTGCCCAGAGCTGGGCAGGGGCAGCCCCGCCAGGACGCTCCTCAGAAAAAAACACCTCACTGGAAAAGCGGGTGCCCTTGCAGGAACGCGCCTCTAGCTCCGGCCGGGCTGCTGGGGGCTGCGATGAGGGGGGAGACCTCAGAGGTTCTTCTCCCAGGGCGAGCAGGAGTCCAGCAGCTCCGCACCTCCTCCGGCAGCGCGGAGTGGAGGGCAGCGGGTACGGAGGAACCAGGAGATCTGCTACATCTCCCCTACCCCCGGCAGAGCCCTGCCATTACAGATCCCGCACCCACCACCTCCCAGTCCAGACCAGCAGCTGTCCCACCCAGAGCCCTCCCACCTCCTCAAGGGTACGTAAGGTCAGGACAGCAGGGCTGATTCGGAAGGTTATTTTATTATCAGGGCCACGCTGCAGGGGGTCATAGCAGCCTGAAAGACCAAACACCAGGGCTCAGGCGAGGACCTTGGACCAGTGCTGCCAACCCAGCCCGCGGCCACGGGGCGGGAACAGCCTGAGGGGCTCCTATGCCCGTCCGAGATGACCGCCATCGCCTGGGGGTACGGGCAGGCACCAAGGCCCAGCCACGTGTCACACAGAGCACGTACGGGTGTGCGAGCCGTTCGATCGGACAGGCCCAAGGGAGCTCTGCCAGCCCCAGCCGTGGCCCCAGGGAGCAGTCACGGGAGCCCCCACCCGTGGGAGCCACAGCCCCCGGGCCCTGCAGGGACCACCGCCAGGGCCAGGGGCAGCAGGACGAGGACGGGCCACGGCAGAGCGCACGCCGCGTCGCCTGCCTCGGGAGTCACGTTCTCCGTGCGGGAAGGGGAGGTTCTCTTTTTCCAGGCATAGTACTTCGCCACCACCACATTGGGGTTTCCCTGGGCAGGGTCAAACCACATCTGGATGCAGCGCCCGCTGCCCCGGTGCTCTGTGGTGTACTTGTAGGAGTTGGACCAGATTTTCTCACACAGGTCCTTCGGTTGGGGGAAGACGTGGCTGAAGGGTCTGCACATGGAGCCCCAGGGGCAGCGGTTTGTTCCTGAGGACAGACAGCACCAGGAAACAACGTGAGCTGGCAGGCGTGGGTCCTTACACCCGTGAGGAGCAGGTCACCCGCCCACAGCCCATCGCCGCCGCTTGGCCACCTTCTACTCCACAACCCCAGCCTGCAAGGAGAGGCTTGCTCCACACCCCCCACCGACCTGTTGCCCAGTTCCAGCCCTTGTGCCAGTTCTCTTTGCAGGTGACGAAGTCCTTGCAGTCCTCCCACCACTCCTCGCAGTCCTCCTTGCAGAGTGGCACGTGAAGAATCCTCTCCCGACGCCAGCTGCTGTCAGTCTGCAAGGGAACAGGACCACGAGCGCTGGTGCTGGCCCTTGAAAGCCAAGGGGCAGGATCTGCCACGCCCCAGATCCCCCCGCAGCCCCTTCCACTGGGCTCCAGAGCCAGTCTGACTTTCAGCCCCAGCAGGCACATGCCCTTGGCAACAAGCATTCCTTCATTAGCCTGTCTGGCTACCTAAGCTGAGACTAGCAAAGTCCTTTCTATCTTTCTACCCAGTAGGAAAGCTTGCAGAGTCCCTGGAAAGCACATTCCCACCCCTGCCAGGGGAACACGGCATGGGGGACCAGCACAGAACGCATCAGGTGGCCAATGGGCCCCGTTGTCTTAATCCCAGCAGATGTGACCCTACCTGGTCAATCCAGGGCCCCAGGTTGGGCGAGCACTCGTACAAACACGTGTCCTGGATGAAGTGGCGCTTGCACTTGGGCGGCATCAGCCCACAGTGGTTCCAGTTGAAGTTGTACAGGTTGGATTGGTCCTTGTGGGCTTCTGAAGTGGTGTTGGCGGTGCAGCAGGCGTTGTCCTTCCAGGGAGCACACTGCAACGGAGCGAGAGACAGGTGGGTGAGGGCGGGCAGCAGCTCGGGGCAGTCAGGGGGTGCTACAGCAAAAGCTCTTCAGCGGCAAGAGCCTCTCTGCCAGCAAACCCTTGGGCACTTTGGACTGAAGAGTTCAGGGATGCAGCAAGAGCGGGAGGAGCTCTCTGGAGGCTAGAGCCTCTCGAGGAGTTAGCATCAGCCAGAGGAACAGAAAGAAACTCCCTTCTCTTACACCCTGGCTTGCTCGTAGCCCCATCCTCAGCAAGGCCTTGGGGGCAGAGCTCTGCAGTGAGCAAGAAGAGACTCTAACACAGAGAGGGAGCAGGTAAGAGCATCTTTCCCCACCATCCTTTACCTCGTTCTGCTCTGGGGTACCTAAGCTTTGGGAAGGGGAGGCCTCCTGGTTGAAGAGGGGTGACACTGAGCTGACAGAAACCCTCCCACCGCTGCGTCTGCCCGAGGCATTTGCTGGAGGAAAGCGGCAAACAGGCCTCATGGCCAGCACAGGCTTCTTCCTCAGGCAAATAGTTGCTAATCCCAGAGCACAAACCGGCCCGTATCACCTGGGGAGGCAGGGACAGGGGACCCCAACAATCCCACCGAACCCGTCGGCAGAGCCACACCTGGTCATGCAGCATCCCCTCGGGGCCAGGCTTGGTTTTGTGGTGTTTGGCATCCATGCAGGTGCTCAGCAGCGGGTCCTTGGCAGGCGCCATGGCGCAGGTGACCAGCAGCACCAGCAGCACCCGCCCTGCTCCCATCCCGGCTGGCTGGGGAGGTGACAGAGCTGTGCGGAGAGGGGACAGCACAGGAAGGGCTTTGACCTGTGGAGCAGTAACTGGGGCGCCACGAGGGCCGGGCGCTCCAGAGCACATGCCAGCAGCCCACCGGCGGCTCCCAGCACCGAGGACACAAGCGCAGCCCCCCCAGGCAGAGCTGTGAGGTCAGCCACGCGCTGGGCAACGCCACAGCAGAGGCAAACAGCCCTCTCGGGGCTCAGGCTGTCCAACAGCCAAACCTCAGACATCCCCAGCTGGAAGTGGGACAGAGACCTGCCCAAACGGGGACCCTCTTGCGCTCAGCCACCCCCCTGCTCCAGTGCGGAGCTTTCGCCTCCCGGGCAACCTGCGGCCAGGCATTGCTGGTCAAGGTAGTCAAACACACCAGCACATCTTGTGTGGCCCACAAGCGGCAGGAGGCCCACCTTGTTTTCAGGAGTACGTTAAGAAAAGGAGGACTTTTTTGTTTGTTTGTTTTACCTGCACCTGGGTCTTCAGAGATCCACACCTGAGGTCTCCAAAGGAGACCTGACTCAAGCAATACGAGAGGCTTCACATAACCCTGCCTCAGCCCCCTCTGCCCACCTAGAGGCTGATAGGACTTTTATAGCAGTTCACTAAAAAAAAAATAAGCCACAACCAAAACACCCAACAAAACAAGAGAGAACCCCAAAACCCAAACAAACCCACCTCACATTCCATGTCACTACAGCATAAGGGTCTAAACCAATCACCTTTTAAGAAGGATTTTGCAAAACAAACCCTTTACAACAATAAACAGCATAAAACATCACAGAAGGCAACAATCACAGAGCTAAGGAAGCAGACACACAAATCTGAGGGCTAGAAAGCAGCTAACCTACGCCACAGCTCCTCTACGGAACCCCCTGAACAGCAGCTCTCACCCTTACCAGCCCAAGAAGCCTCCAGACCTCCGGCGGAGACACTCGGCAGAGGAACTTCCTGGGTCAGCTTTCACAGGAAAGCCTTCGAACACAGGTGCTGGCACTTGGAAGTGCCCTCTTAATGCGTTTCACGAGGTTTAACTCCTGCCAGCATTTGTTACCTTAGAAGCAGTTGTTTTGGTGACAACTTGCCTGGGAAACCATCTCGTGTTTTTTCCAAGAGACAGGTCTCTTATCAGCCGCGGCCATTGATAACGAACCCGTCCTCCTCTGCTCGCCCTACACAGGCGGTTTTGATTTGCACCACTGCGTGAGACAAAGCAGCCAAGGAAGGACAGATCTGGGATTCTGCCATGCCCCAAGAACAGGTAAAAGGGGTAACGCTCGTCACAAAAAAAAAAAAAAAAAAAAAAAAAAAGACACGCGGGAAAAAGTGCTGTTGTCTCAGGAAGAAACTCCCAACACAAACAAGAACCGCAGGCTGATGAGGGGAGATGGTGCACCTTGTTGCAAGCACCTGAGGACAATCGAAGCTAAAAGCTGGGGTTTGCTCACACGGGGCAGAGCCCTCCTCCTGGAGCAGCACAGCTTTTGGGGCTGGTTTGCTCTTTTCTTCGACCGCACCACTGATGTTTTGGTGATGAACCCCCTCACCTCAGGGCCTCATCACCCTAAATTTAATGCACGGACGCTTTAGGCTGCAGGAGGCCCCGCTTTGGTGATTTCTGCAGCCTAACGCCACGCTGCACGAGTCGGGGCCTCTGCGTGCTCGTTCTGCACCAGGCACGTGCTGCTTTGATGGCTCCTGCTTCTAGATCTGCATGGGAAGTGACAAGGAGCAGATCTTGCCCCCCTCCTCACTGAGCCGCAGCTCCCTCGCGCTGCCCCTCTCCGACGCAGCCAGGGTCTGCTCACCCGTTTCCCTCGGCGAGTGCGTTGCTCCCCATGGCACGGGGATGGCAGCAGCGGCTGTCCTGGCCTTGTTTTCTGGTCCTTGCTGAGGAATTTCTGATAGCTGGTTTGGTTTTGGAACCGCTGATCGCTGCGCTGTGTCGTGACACTGTCATAAACGTGACGGCTTGTTCCTGAGAGATAATTGTTAGCCACCAGCCGGTCATTTTTTTTTATCTGAAATGTTCTGTTTCTTCTCTAAGTGCATCACTGTATGTTTATCTCAACTGCTTTTTTTTTTTAATCTGTTGTTTTATTGTTCAGGGACTCAGTCTTACCATGATCTTCTGCAGATTTTCACAGCTGGGCCTCCTGTTCCTGGAGTAATCTAAGATCATCAGAACCTTGGTTGCCTTGCTGTTTTCCCCTTCCTTTCCCAGAGAAAATTAATCGAAAAGCAGAAATCCCAGCACAGGTTCCTGGGGAGGGTCGCTGTAAAGGGTAGCCTTGCACCTTTATCTTAGGATTCAGTTACCCGGTGCTGTGTGGAACTCGCGTTGCCTGGCTGCTTGTTTGATGATCTGCAGTGGGGACCTTGCTCGGGGCCCCTGTGAGTCCGGGGTGACTCTGTCCCCTGCGTCTGTCCCAGCCAGGACCCTTGGCGGACTTGCAGGGTGTTAGGGGGTCTGTCGGGCAGGTTGGCGGAGCCACGCTGGCCCTTTCCCACGCGTCCTTACCCACCTGCCTGCGGGTTTGGCCCTTTATTACATTCTCTGCGACCTTTTCCCCACAGATACCACGTCCGTGGCTGTGCGGATCCCTCTGTCTCTCCAGAAGCCCTTGAAGGTCCCATGTGAGCGTGTATAGACCTTGTCCTCGCCAGGGGTACTCGGGACAGGGCAGAAAATGGGGAAACTCTCTCCTCTGCCCGTAGCCCTGCCTGTACCCTGGCGCTCGATGGGGTGGGCAGGGGCTGGGCACCGCTGTGCTTGCTCCCTCCGGCTGAGCTGCCTTGAGCAGCCTCTCTGCGGGGGTCAGGGTCTGCCGCTTCTCCGGGGTCACGTCTGGGTGGGCAGCTGCTGGGTGACTGCTTGAGGGTGTGCGGGGAGCCTCTGGGCACCCCAGGGGCTGCCCCCGCTCAGTGCCCTCGCTTACACGTCGTCTGGAGGTGCCTGATGCAGCCCCACGTGGCTCCCCACTGCCGCTGCTCCCACGTGCGGTGTGATGATCCGAATCTCACCGAGGGGCAAAAAGCCAATGAACTTCATGTGTAGATCCAAGAGTTAATTTTTAGTGTGATTGAAAACAGTCTAGTACAAGAATCATTGTTAGAGCAGATCTAGTTATTACAGAAAAAAAAAATTAATATTTCTCTACAGAAAAAAGAAATAATAATAATAATAATAATAATAATAGTGCTCCAATTATAATTGTTATACACGCACTTCCCAGTTTCCACCTCTTCCCCGGGGTTGTGTTTCCCCTTTCACTGCTCCTCCGGGTCCTCAGGTTGGTGACTGCAGTTTGGTGATGGTGTTGGATGTTACATCAAGTCCCCAAAATCTGGAATCTCTCACAGGGAGGAGTGTGATACTGATGTTCATGGCTTCTTCTTCCTCACTCTAGGCTCCACGGTGTGTCTTTTTTATGTCTGATAACATGCTCTTACACTTTGCTTTCTCTTCATTGGTCTGCCAGTCCGTGCAGATTTCCTAAATACAGCGCATTGTATGCGTGTTAGATACTCCTTCCTTGCTCTCTTTGTCATCCCCAAACCATTTTAGCCTGGCTCCGAGCCTCCGTTTCTTTAACTGGCCACTTCTGAGTTGTTTAGAGCCGTGCGGGGCCCTGTCTGCCATCCCCTCATGCCCTCACTCCTCTGCTCCATCCTCTGTCCCCTCTTCCTAAGGCCCTGCCATCCTGCCCGGGTTTCTCAGCACTATACCATCGTGTTGAAGTCATAAATGTCTCATTCACCAGAGAACAGCTACATTTACTGCTGTCTGTGTAAAACAGACACGCTGGTCGCATCACACACCGGGAAGCAGAGGAGCCATAGCCATAGTCAGGATAAAAATTGCCGTCACTGCTAAATCTGGGAAAAGCGAAGCTCCAGGCAGGTCAGGAGTAGTTCAAAGAGAGCAAACCTGTCATGCCTCACCCCTGAGACCCTGCAAACTCAGCACAAAGCCCAAGCCTGTAGCCAGCAGTGGCCACGCCGTGGTACTGGGCTACGGGGTCAGCGTGCAGGACCTGGCCACAGCCCCCGGCCAGGTGGGTGCTGAGCACACTTGGGCCGGGCTCAGCACCAAGGGGGGGGCAACCGAGCTGAGCCCCGGGTCGTCACTGACTGCCGGGGGCTGGGACAGCCCCTGCGGACAGGCACCCCCGCGGAGGGACCCCCACCAGCACAAGGAGAGGTTTGACTGTCGCACGCCGGAGCCACCTCTCAGTCCTGGAGCCCTTCAGGAGTGAATCAGGTTTGGCACCAGGAGAGCAGAGATAACCGCAGGGTCCCTGAGACAACATCCAATGTCTTCTTCCTTTCCCTGAAAAAAAAACCCTGGTTAAAATGCACTTTAAAAGCGAGCGTGAGCAGGGGATCTCTTGATGCACATAGAAGCAAAGGGAAAAAAGGTGATGTATTTTACATTGGGCAGATATTGTTTCTTCAGGATTTTCATTTCAAATACTTGATTGTTCCATCCGTCAATACTTTTGTGGCCTAAAAGTGTTAGGATTTCGAAGGGGGTCTCAGTTAAAACTGATATCAGAAATTACACGACACAACTCTTGGATCACTCTTATCTTGTAACAGGGGATGAGAAGTTTTCTGGGCCCCTGCACACCCGGGCAACCCGATTAACCGCTCAGGTTGTCACTGACATCAGGAATAACCCCCTTACCCCGGTGCAGCATCACGAAGCAGGCACGTCTTCATGTGGCGCCGGGCGCATGGGGGATCGTTCCTCCTAACATGCGCACCCTGAAGCAGAAGTTCATCCTTTATGTACCCTGACACCACGGATTTCTGAGAACTCTGCCTTTCTGCCTGTCTACTCCGTTTACATAACGCTGGCATTGCACAACTACGCCATGCCGGCGCGGGGGCCTCGGGTGGTCGTTTGGGGAGTTTCCCCCCTCCCCTTTTTCCCTTTCATGCTCATGAGTTTTCTGGAGACAGTT